TCTCCTCCTCAAGCTTCTTTCCCAAAGCATTTTAATGCCACGATGATCAAATTTAATGAATTTTATTGCCAATTAAGGCCTTAATTTAAAAAATAATAATTTAATGATTTTTAATGACCTGCGGAAACCCTGGATGAGCCCAAATAGAAATGATAAACACAGACATGTATGTATGTAGAGGTGGGTTTTTTTTTTCCTTTTACAGTTGCACATTTCAAGTTTTCAGTTTTCAAGTTCATGTTTGCTGACAGATATTTAATGAAGATAAACTGTGTCTTCATTAGTAGAGGATTATAGATATACTGTTAAAATCAGTGGGCCATTTCAATTCAGTTTGGTTCAGGTAGATATATAATGATGCAGATAATAACAATCTGATCGTACAATGTATTTATTTATAAAATATTTGCTTACATTAATTATCAGTGCCCCCAAAGCTTTTTTTGGTGCCCTATAGTGCCCCTGTATAGTACTGGGACAGCTGACGCCCCTAGCTAAGGGGCAAGGGCGTAGGTTTGATTTCAACTTTGGTAGGGACACTATTCTTCAGTTTCATTGGTCCTTTGCAAAAAATATTCATGCTCTTTTTTATGCTTAATGTGAGCTTCAGGGCTCATTTTGTTTAAAGAGAACAGCAGCATTTCTTGCTACATTAATACAAATCTTAAAAGCACTACATGCACTAGATGCTGTTTATCAATATTTAAAGCATCACTGGCTCTGATGAATGTGGAATTAGGACTTTTTCCACTTTGAAAAGGATTGCATTTAAATTTACCTGCGACTAAGACAGTGTCTATTCAACCAAATATAGTCTATAATATGTGGATTTATTCTGTGTTTTCTTCTGAAGATATAGAATTGTGCAGAGGTAAACAGAGGTAAACCCCACTCTTATTTTTTTTAATCTGATATGCTCTCTCTGGATCATGCAAAATAATACATTCAAGGGACGGCAAATAAATGTATTGTATTTACATGTGCACTGGAACTAGAAGAGGAACTGACACTGAGCATTTAAAATATTAATATTAGAAGTTGTACATCTGGGCTGTAGTTACTCTGTATTGCTAATTTCATGTATTTTATCTATGGCTGAAACAATCATATTAACAAATTATTTAAATAATCGTGAACTAATTTAGTAATTGATTAATCGTAAACTGGAGTATAGGGCCACTAAAATGTGCCTTTAGCCGACAGAGCGACCCACTTAGAGCAGGAATTATACCAAGATTGTAAAAAATATTAGCATTTAAGAAGTAAAAAAATAAAAGTTTTGTCTCTCAATATTCTCCATCCAGAACTCCTCCAAAGGAAACGTTTAAACGTTTCTGTTTCACCTGGTTTCATTTCATAAAAGATCTTCTGTAAGGAGCCTTTGGCTATCTGATTTTTTTTTTTTTTTAACATTCTTTATTTAAGATTATTAGGAATCCAGAACACATACATATGTATATTTATGCATGTACTTACATAAAGAAAAACAAAACAAAAAACAAACAAACAAAAAAAACGGGGGGGGGTCTCAGCAAACACTTAAGTCCATTTTGGCAATTGACATTTAGAGGTTCTCATCGGCTCACCTGAAAGAGAAATGTTTATATCCAGTGTCTTTCATTAAAAGAGAGAGACATGTCAAGGGGATTAGCAGTTTTAGCATCTTTATCAAAGTGGCCATCCAAAGTGGGAAATAGCTGGGGTCCAAACACTCAGAAAAATGTCAATTTTTACATGAAGTTTTGCTGTTATCTTTTCCATGATATACACATTCTTCAATCTGTCTTGCCACTGTTGAAGGGTGGGAGGCAAAGGCTTGAGCCAAGACAAAGTTATCATTTTTCTTGCTACTAGTAGCAGAATCTGTAGTAACTGGACTTCCTTTTTCCCAATATCATCTCCTGGGGTCAAACCCAGTATATAATGCAGTGGGTTCAGTGGTAGCGTAAACTTGAGTATATTTTTAATTTCTGTCTGAACCCCCTGCCAGAATGGAATCAATACTGGGCAGTCCCAAAAAATGTGAGTGTGATCCCCAATCTGACTACAATTCCTCCAACACATATTTGTAGCATTTCTGTCATATTTTGAAATACTGAAAGGTGTTTTGAAGAATCTCATTTTTAATTTCCAGTCAAATTCTTTCCAATTTGGACTGTGGGTGATCTTAAAACCTTTCTCACAAATCTCTTCCCACTCCTCATCTTCAATAACAATATTCATTTCTAGTTCCCACTTTTGTTTTATGTCTATAGAGCTGTCAGAGAAATGCATTTGTAAATGTTTATATAGATTAGATATGATCTTCCTCTTATTATTTTCCTCCACACATTTTATCAAAAATATTTCCAAAGGTGAAGTATTTTGTTTCAATTTAGGCCATTCTTTATGTGATAGAAGATAATCTCTTAATTGTAAATACTTATAGAAATCTTTTGAGCATAATCCATATTTGTCCTGTAATTGCTTAAATGTCTTAATATTTTCTCCACTGAATAACTGATTAATTCTTATTAATCCTTTCTGAGCCCATCTCTGATAACCCGTATCTAGCTTGTTTGGAAAAAAGTCAGTAATCTTGGCTATTTTTATCATGCGTGATATAGTTAAAGGTGCTCCTATTTTCTTCCTCACTAGAGACCAGACTCTGTATGTACAATTAATCCACTCATTTTCAATTTTTAAATCCTTCCAATTTTTTCCCTCCATAAATGGGATCGCTTCAAGAGGTACCAGTTGGCAAGCATTGTTCTCCAGACCAATCCAGTTCGTCTCCTCATCCTGCACAAGCCACTGGACCACCGCACTAAGTTGTGCTGCCCAGTAGTACAATTTCAAATTAGGCAAACCAAGGCCACCTTTTCTTCTTGGGCTTAACAGTAACTTCTGTCTGATTCTTGCTTTCCTCCTTTGCCAAATAAAGTTATTAATAATTTTATCTAAAAATTTTAAAAGTGGAGGCAGGTATCCAAATAGGAAGTGCCTGAAATAGATACATTAATCGTGGGAGTATATTCATTCTCACTGTTTCTATTCTGCCCAAAAAGGACAGAGGGAGAATCTCCCATCTAGACAGGTCTGATTTTATTTGTGTGATTAAGCTACTAAAATTTCCATTAAATAGTTGTGAGGTTTGTGGTGTAATCGTCACACCCAAATACTTGAATCCCCTCTTGGACCAATTGAAGGTGACCTCTTTATCTAAATCTGTAGGCCATTTTCCCACTAACATCATAGCTTCTGACTTGGTTTCGTTCACTTTATAGCCGGAGATTTCTCCAAAGTCTTTTAAACTAGTCATAAGTCTAGGGATTGAGCACAGAGGATTAGAGATATACAAAATAATGTCATCAGCATATAGTGATATTTTATGAGTGACTCCACCTGCTGTTACTCCATGAATTCTAGGGTCTGTCCGTATTCTTTCTCCCAGGGGCTCAATGCTGATAGCAAATAGTAGAGGTGAAAGAGGACATCCCTGCCTAGTTCCTCTTTTTAAACCAAATTTCTTTGAGGAGTATCCATTCACCCGTACTATGGATGTGGGTCCAGAATATAGCACACTAATCCAATTGATAAAGTCTCTATGAAATCCCATTTTTGCCAGTGTGTGTTTCAGGTACTGCCAGTCCACCCTATCAAATGCCTTCTCAGCATCAAGGCTGAGAAGCATTGAAGGATCCTGTTTCTGTCTCGCCACAGAGATCACGTTCAAGGTTGTCCTAATATTATTTATCCCTAAACGTCCCGTTATAAACCCTGTTTGGTCCGGCTTAATTATTGTGTGGATACATTTTTGAACTCGGTTTGCCAGTATTGTAGTTAAAATTTTTAAATCACAGCAGAGCAAACTTATTGGCCTGTAGGACGAGCAATTTATGGGGTCCTTGCCCTCTTTGGGAATTATGGATATTATTGCTTCTGACCATTGCTTTGGGGGGTCCTTATTCGTGAGGGCATAATTAAATACTCTTTGTAATAAGGGGGTGACCTCAGTTTTAAAATGCTTATAAAATTCCGCCGGGAATCCATCGACTCCCGGCACTTTGTTGTTCTTTAAATTTTTTATGACCACCTCAATTTCTTGTTTTGTGATTGGATCTCTCATCTCTTTGGCATCATTTTCAGTAAATTTTGGTAACTGAATTTCACCCATCAAATTCTTAATCTTGTCTATTTTGCTGTCTATTTCCTCTGAGTCGTAAAGTGTCTCATAGTAAGCTGAAAAAGCTTCTGCAATGTCTTTAGGCTGAGACAGAATTTTCTTTGTGAGAGGATTCATTATCTTTTCCACTGTTCGATTGGCTATCTGATTAAAAGATAAAATAAAAGAAATCATAACGTTGTTAACTTACATTTCTCAAGTTCCACAAATCAATAAAACTCTCCTGCTTCTTTACAGAACTCCAGTCGGAAGCTTTCGCCTGTTTTAGCGTAGATAATATTTTTTTTCATTTGGACTAGCTTCTTGGCCCAATATTAATTTATTTTAGCGTCTTTTTTTTCGCGCTCCAAGCACCCGCGCACATACAGACTAGAAAACACGCAATCAGAAAGAGAGAAGGCGGAACTTAAGGCAGAATAATCAAACATGTTGTTTACATCCAATTATTGGTGGGGACAAATAGGTCCTTCCAAGTTTTTGGTAGGGACATGTCCCTATGGTCCCTATGCAAACCTACGCCCATGCTAAGGGGTTAACAATTGAAGTCTTTAGGTATGCAACTCTGGTAGAAACATACACAGAAAGACCTGCAGCTGCATAAATAATAAATTCAACTAAAGCTTAAAGAACCTTAAAGAACCCAAACATAAAAACTGATAAGATCACAGCTTTATGGCACAGTTGAGGGACTGTGTTTAGTTCTAGGACAGTTGGACACAGAGTGACAGAAGGTCCACTGTGCTGCTGCTGCTTTAAACGAACAAACCTCAGAGATTCACTCATTTGTCCTTCTTAGAAACCAGTTCCCTGTTACTTCATATTCCTCCACACCTACCCGACTGTTTCTTTCCATCCGCGGCCCCGATTCGACGTTTAATGACGGCTCGGTCTCTCCCCGCTCACATTTCTGGAGCTTCAGTCGCAACAGGAGGAGGCAGGATGCAAGAAACGACTCCTGATAAAACAGGAGAAGAACACACTCCTATCTTTCTGTTTTAGTTCGGGTTTCTAGCCACCTGCACATCCGTGACTTTGTGTCAAAAAAAGAAAATTAAACAATGAGACAGCTCCGCTCTTCGGGCAGGAGTTGAACAACGCTTCGTTTTCCTGGTCTTTAAGGGTGGAAGGGGATTTTTCCAACGGCCAGTGAACGTGTCTCGCCCTGTCATGTGATGAAGAGCAGCTGACCGGAAGCAGCTAGGCGGAAGTGGATGAAAACAACGATGAAGGCTCTGGGCAGAATATCTGCAACAGATTGTGTCAAAGTGAGTCTTATTTTTTTTTAATGCACGATTTTTATTGCTCGCCGCTATTGTTGTGTGTTTTATGTGTTATTTGTCCTTTATAGCATTAGTTATTGAAGTTTTTTGTTAGTTTTTTTTAGCGAGTGTTTGTAAATTTGAGCAGCATTTAATAAAAACGTGATTCTGAAAAAAAAAAACGATTAATATTTGATAAACCAGGAGGGATTATTAATCTGATTTATGCTTAAAATGACGAGACTCTAAAGTTATTTCTGAACTACTGCAATAACTGCAGCAGCTCTTTAGGCATGAGAATAAAAAATTTACTTTTCAGTCCTAATCTCAAGTTTTAAACGGCTTCTGGAGGGTTTCTAATACGGTGCTATATAAATAATTGTTTTTGTTCAGCTGCAGTTCATGTCAAATCGAAATAGGATTAATAATACTGTCCTGTTTCTAATGTCAGATCTGGACGGACAGATTTCTGCACCTTTTAGATGTATTATTAGTTAAATAACATATTTAAACTAATATTCCTGCTGATTTTAAATTCAGGGGCTTCGCAGCGGGTAGAAAATGTGCCTGACCGCAAGAAGGTTCCGGGTTTGATTTTCAGCCTTTCTTCACGGAGTTTGCATGTTCTCCCTGTGCATGTGTGGGCTCTCTCTGGGTACTCCGGCTTCCTCCCACAGTCCCAAAACATGACTGTTAGGTTAATTGTTTTCTCTAAATGCTCCTTAGATGTGAGTGTGTGTGTCTGAGTTGCCCTGCGATAGACTGGAGACCTGTCCAGTGTGGACCCCACCTGTCACCCGTAGACAGCTGGAGAATGGCACCAGCACCTCTCCCAACCCCAGCAGGGATAAAGCATGATGGAAAATGGATGGATCTTAATTTCTTACTGAGGCGTTTGAATGAACTTTGCAGGACAACCATCCTTTTGAGGACTGCATTTGGACAGCTCTTGTTTTGGTAGTTGTGCCAAACTCTGTTTTTGAGTCTCAGACTTAATTGTGCTCTTTGAGTTGTTCAGAACTTGTTATCTGGTTTTGTAACCTAACCTAGCTTTAAATGTCTCCATATCTTTAAACTGCAACGGTGTGTTCACAGGTCTGCCTAAAAAGCTGATCATACAGCTGCTGTTGATCCAGAATGATGCTGCCTGCATCCTCACTAGAACTAAGAAAGTGAAGCACATCACCCTTACTCTGGCTCCCTGTACATCAGAAGATGTACAGATTAAAATACATCTGTAGTCTATAAATCACTGAACGCTTTAGCTCCAAAATAAATAAAAGACTTATCATTGTACCGACAACTTAAACCTCTCAGGTCTTCTGGGTCTTGCACATAGCAGCAAAATCTGACTGTATATAACATTTATTTTAAACACTAAAACAACCTTCTTTTGCAAATGAAAAATCTGCCAAAGTCAAAGGAAAACAGCAAAGGGAAGCACCAATCTGCTTTTGATATTTTCAGCTGTGTCACAGAGTAGTGGATGGGCTGTGTGGACGAGAGCCTCCATGCAGGAGTGATTATAGCGCCACCTGGAGCCTGGAAGAGTGGTTGCAGCTACTTGACTTCTTGAGTGGCCTGTTCCGTTCTACGGTGGGGAGCAACTTCACAGATGAAGAGGTGAGCGAAGAAGGTCAGAGTGTCAGTGTTTTTGTTTTCTTTTTTGTCCCTCAGCTCAGATTTTTCCTACTTTTTTGTGCAGGTTCTGGCTAAGCTGTCGGATGTAGATCACAGTCACAGCCAAGCGGTTCTGAGCGTGGTCAGAGCACGAGAGGAAGAGATCCGGCGTGCTCTGCTGGACAGTACCAACAGCATCTCTTCTGCAACCCTGCAGGACTTTGACTGGCAGCTTAAGGTCAGCCGGTCATCAGCGTTCAGTTAGTCTTTATCCCTGACGTGTTCTGCTCAGCACAATTGTAGTGACACCATGACTTCAACACCCTGGAACCAGACATAGCTGTTACTATTCTTAAAATATGGGTGTCTGAATGTTTCCCTGCATCAACTAAACTACTTTAGTCCTTCTTAGGTAGGCGCTAAACCCAAATGTTAAGATGTTGAAAAAAACCTTTATGAAAAGAAACTATTAGAGAATGTTCCTGCTTTTGAGTTTTATTCAATTCTTTTCTTTCCCTTCACCTTCTGCAGCTGGCCATGTCCAGCGATAAGATCTCATCTTTAAACACGCCACTGCTCAGCCTATCTCTGGATGTGAGGGAGAAAGGAGCGCTTCGGCCCATCACCATGGAGCTGAACAGAGAGGAACTGAGCTCCCTCATCAGCTCACTGGAGGCAGCTAACAAGGTACGCACACAGGGAAGCTGTCACCTTATCAACACGTGGCTTTGAAACATAACACCCTATTTAGCCTGGATACAGCTCTATAGAGGCTAATATTACCTCAAGCAACAACTACAGTCACAAGTAACCTTTCCATGTTGCTCCTCACCTCAATGGATTTTAGGTTTCAAACCTAAAATCTATCAAGATAAACGGCTGCCATTCAAATATTTGTTCACAACTGATTAATTCGTCTACATGTCAATTCAACCTCCTCATGCACCAATAATCATCCTATACTTAGACACAATGTCTGGACTACAGATGTAAATAAGACCAATTCCGTCTGATACGTGGGACCCTGCATTGATGAAGTTCCCTCGTAGCTCCAACACTATACAATCACCTTGGTATCCAAGAAACTTACAATCAAGCCCCTGTCACACCTTGACGATTTAGACAGTGTATACCTGACATACAAAAAACCTGCCAAAAATGCTGGCATATGTTCGATAAGTTATGGGTACGTTTTGTAGAACTTAGGACCAGGCTGAAACACATTGACACATGTTGATATACGGCAAGTACGTAGGCTCATCAGGAGGCGTTAAGTTACAGGTAAGTTATCTGAGCGTTTACATACGTTACAGTAGCAGCCATTCAAAATGGCCCTTCCCAGTCAAACGCCAGCCAAATGGCAGCCCACTTCCCTGCAAATCCTAGCAAAATCCCCTCCAACTTCCAGCCTCTGGAGTGACCTCCTCCTGAGCGTCCATATTTTTTTACTCTGACTCCACACTTTCACTAAATTACAGGGTCTGACCAGGAAATGGTGCTTCTCTTTAGATCTTAATGTCCACAAATCATGACAGAATATTTTATTACAAAGCTTGATGTTTAAAAAGGAATTTGAGGGGACCAGCCAAGGACCCATCAAGGAAAGTGGGGAAAGTGTAAGTTACTCTTACACTCCGCTTTGTTTAAAAAAAATGTAAATATAAAAAATATAACCCAGGATGTCTGGGGGACAGTGATTCGCCTACATGCTATGAATGCTGGCGTACCATAAATGATAAATTATGAACAGTTTAGTTTGTGCCTTAAACTCGTTGCGCATAGGAAGAGTTACTTGATTACCAAACCGAATATCTTCAGAACGGCTCCAAATGACACAAAACTAATATGGGTGAGTAGAACATGATGTAATAACGGAAAATTAAGGGGCCTATGTCAAAAAAACAGAGTTCCCCCTTAAGTTGTGGCGTCTAGCTTATCCAAAACAAATTAGTAACTTGTGCGTAACTTATCTTCAACGCATGTCAATGTATTTCACGTGTTCCAGACGACAGCTGAACGTGTTTCTAACTTACAGCTACTGTATAAGTCAGTTCTCTTATAGACTAAATCTCCATCATTGGGTGAGTGAGAAGTTATGTGTGATAAATCTTCCCTGCGTTCACGCCCAGATGCACCAGAGTCACTTCCTAGCAGACATGATGCTGAATCTGCTGCAAATGCAAACCTTCTTTCTTTATTTTTCTTTTTATGTATTCTTTTTTTTTTTGCCAGGCGGTAAACAGCAACTAGGTTATTACGGCGATCAATTAAATCTTTTTATAAGACCAGGCGCCTCTGGGTGCATCGCTGCTCCCCTTAGGACACTGGCTTCAAGTGGCTTGTGACATTTCATGGGCATTACGCTGCCATGCGTTATGCATAAATTAGGCTTTCATAGGACATAAGTACTGGACTTGCTATGAATACTGTATGTATATGACCAAAATTGAAAACAATACATAGAACGTTTAGCAGATGCCAGCATTTTTGGAGATTCTGGGATGTTAGGCATACGCTGGATAAATGGTCAAGGTGTGACAGGGACATCACACAGTAAAATCCAGTAATACAGGACGGTCACTCTGATGTCAATGGTCATGAAAATCTTTTGAGGGACTTAAAGGTTCACTTCATCCCAAACCACTCTGATCACTTTTTTGTGCTGTGTTCGCAAATTAGGTGAATTAAGCTACTTTTGGTTCTAAATGTAAGAGCAAACGGATCCGGTTTGGACAGTAGGTGGCAACATTATCCAAGCAAGCGTTACACTTGATCTTTATTGAGGAATACAAAGTGAAATAACTTGCTCTAAATTCATTGCTAATACTAAATGATATACTGACAAGAACTTTTCTCTTCTGTCTTTAAGGTGGTGCTGCAGCTGAAATGATGGACCAAGAAGATGCAGCTGTTTTGGATGTAATAATTAACTTAATGTTTTTTTTTTTCCTGTGATGCCTTTTGTTTCTGTATTAAAATTCATGTTTTTCTCTCTGATTCTATAAAAGTTGTTTGATATTGAAACAAAAAGAAAATAATGACAAAAAGACAGATTAGAAAATTAAAATTTGAAAGAGAAGCAATCCACTTGTGCAGCCTCAAAAATTGGGATTAGTTCTGGTATTTCCAAGACCTGTGAAGGATCCATTATCTATCCATTTATCAATAATTGATTCAACTACGAACAAGGACACAATTCTCAGAACTCCTCCTTAAATTTCAGAA